CTATATATATATATATATATATAGTAGATAATAAATAAATAAGTCCTTGCGAAGGAAAATATAGAATAAAAACAAATTTTTCAGATCGGACGATCTGAAAAATTTGTTTTTATTCTATATATATATATATGGTTTATATATAGGTATAATTTTCTTCTGATATAATTATATTTTATAGTCTTGAACGCTACCAAAACAGATTAAAAGTTAAATAAAAAACACAAATTTCGTTTCTGTTTTGCGTTTGATAAACATGAACTTAAAAAATGTCTTAGTGTGCGTCGGAAAAATCGTTTCGCCAAAATAATAGCTTTATTTTATATAATCGATTCTTCAGACCAGTAGAACCATTTAAATCAGGAACGGAATAACTTTATAACTCTCTTTTTTTGTGAAAACCATGACAAATGATACATAAATCATTGATGTTATTATACAACGTGAGTATATCTATCAAGAATAATATTCAACAGTCGCTTTTACAGGAGACAAAAGGATCTAATACATATTGTAAAGTGCCATTCTTAATAACTTTCTTTTTGTGTTGGTGTGACCAACATTTTGCTGCATTTTTGCATCGACTTCATGTGAGCAGTAGGTCATTTTATTAACATAAGCGATAACGTTATGGTATATTATGTTCCAATGATGAGAAGTGATTTTAAAACTTGCGATCGCAATGAATATCGCTAGACCATATAAGGAACCTAAACGCATACTGCGTGTACACACTGCCCACTCACGAAACACCTTCCTGGTTTCAGGTCGACATTCTATAACTCTATTCTAGTAAGTCTCCTTTATTTAAAGCTGTCATATTTCCATATATGTTCTGTATACATTAGCGGCAAGTAAGTAGAAATATTATGCGCGTTTAATGGCTGAAGAGTTTATATAAGTGGTAGTGGAGCTTTCATCTTAAAACATAATTGTCCTGTTGAAAAGACGAAATATCTAATAAAATATACATCGAATAAAATGCTATCCATTGATTTACAACGGGTTTTGCGAAGCCAATATAGAATAATGTTTGCTCACATTTACTAAGATTTAGTGCGTGTGGACTATTTTCATGAAACGAACTTTGTCATTTTGTGATTTCTTAACTACATGTACTTCCGACTATAATAGTAACATGAAATACATATTTTACTTTACGTAATGGAAAAAAAAACATGATTTATAACGTACACATGTTAGTACTGTTTCTCTTTCGTTACATAATACTTAATATACACAGGACCATAAATTATCTATACGATATTAATAAACCACACTCATGATATTCAGGAATTCCTTTCTGGGGTGCAAAGGGCATAGGGTAATTGTAGCAATTGGTAAGTGAGAGCAATAATTAGCTCGACAGTCAATCTATAAGTAGTACCCACACTATTAACTACTAAATAAAGTGCGATCACGATCATGGAATTAACGCAAGTATAAACCTGGTGTAAACTTCATGGAATCTGATACACATCGCCTCCAAGTAAATGTGTTAAATCCCCACTCACGGAGATTACATTTTTCCAAACTTTAAAAGCTGCAGAAAATACTTAAGTGAAAATAGTCTTATTTAGCTCAACAAATTCCATTCTCATAATGATATATGTTAGTTAATGAGAGGAGCAAGTTTGATGAGGAGTTCATATAGATCAAGATGTATCAGTGGTCATCACACCAAAGACATAAGGGTACTAAGATAGAACGACACTCAGGTACAGGAACACAAAATCTAAATTAGTGTCTACATTGACTGCGTAAACAGACATTTTCATGCAGAACATGTATTTCTCATAATCCTCATTTAGTCAACAGTGCATTGACATGCGTAGCCTTATAATACGCTAACATGCAGAAGTTTGAAGGTAACATTTTTGTTCATCTTATTATCCTGAAATGTTTTATTAACCCAATTCATTCACCTAACAGTGTCCCATTTATTTGATACCTTCCGTTCTGGGTTCAGAGTAAGTAAACACACACAAAATCGAACTCTCATGCACCACAATAGAATATCAAATATTTGAAAGTGAACACGATATCAAATTGACTTACCTGGTCATGATGTGCTCATTAGAACAGTGCATTCATATTCATTCTGTATTCTGGTTACAGGTTAGGCATGGGTTGTCGGTGATATGTGCACTGTGTCTGACAGTAGCGTCATATCTTATCACACACGGCTGTCAAACTTTATTTCAGTCCTGTCAAGCGAGATTTTCTTTCATATGTGTCGCTCTTATCCTCCTATTATGTTTTGTATATTTTGTACAGATGGGACTTTATAGTTATGTACCGGCTTCAGTGTTTTGTTCGTCACGCTATGTTTCCTCTATCAGGCAATATCAATAGTAAAACGAATCCTGCAGAGCGAGTTTGTCTACCTCGTTACGGCTGGCCCATCAAAGATAACCCTAGATAACCTGTATGGTATGTTCAAAACAGAGAGCACTGAGGGGATTTCCCAAACCAGTGTACTGCTTAACAATCTATTCAGAACCGGTTTTGTTGGTGAAGTTAATAAAGAAATCTGATGTAATATCAACGCCATAGTGATAACTCACGGTGACATCTTGTGGTATATAATTAAATCTATGGTTACAGAATTGTAAGTAAACACTTACTGGGGGGGTGGGGGGGAGGGCTTGCATTGTAACCAACATCAGAAAAACTAAAAGTTTTTAAAGAAAATTTCAAAAAGATGAAGTTACAACAACATTATGCAAATTTATTTAAGTATTTGGGCGTTACAAGGTCACCTTGATGCCCTTGTTACCGCATTTTATTTTTAGTATACCACGCCACCGTAAATGACTCAGATATATCTATTCAGTCGAGAAAGCGCATCTAGACACTACACTACGATCACGTTGTCAGTTATAAGTAATTCTAGCTCAAGTATGTCAATCGCTTCTGATTAAATTGAATTCAATCATGTAAAAATAAAATTCATTCGAAACTCAGATGAGTTAAGGAAAAATCTTAAGTAAAGGAAATCAGTCCTGCTGAAGTTATGAAACGTTCGTGGAACAGGGGCTATCCTCTCTCTGTGTATTTACCACTTGATAAATGGTTCAAGCATCCAATATTGTAATGTGAAACGTTTAACTTACACAAGTGCTACTCTCTACTTACATCACTTATCTTGATTTATCGACAAATGTTTAAGAAAAACCAATGACCAAAATCTACGCTCTTGCCTGATTTATCAATAATGCATTAATTCAATGATATTAATTTACATGTCTAACCGAATACTTACACATCTGAAAAGCCGAAACGAGATGATATTTTGTTTGCATTTAGTGCAAATGATAAAGATATGAACAGTTATTCAAGTATATTCGACCCTCTCTTGCATTGACACTTGGGATCATCAATTAATCATCCTGACCTAAGCCTTGTAAATACTTTTTATTTTGCTTAATTTCACTGATTGGTAAAATGATTTTAAATAGTGTATTTAGTGTATTAATGTTACCACATTCTACAGATTTACACATCTATATTTATCTATGATGAAATTATATTCTTCAGAGATGTTAGTTCAGTAGTGTTATATTCATTCTTTTCCCAAGTCAACAGTACGAATCCATGTTTAATCTGACGATCTAAGACCTTGAAACTGAACCGGTAACATGTACTAAGTAACTTTAAGTCATAGACACTGATATTTTATATACATGATGATTAGCTGGCATGTGTGTACACGTGGGCCTACTATTCCTACACTCTGACGTTGTCTGTATCTGTACAAACTTTACCTGAGCTAAATACAGACACGCATCAACGAATATTGCTGTCATTTGGGAGTTCTGGTGTTTAAATAAGGTGTAATAGACAAAAAGTACACAAATTAACTTTATTTTCAACTTGTAAAATTTTCGTTAACAAATTGCATAATATGTTATAACTTTATAACAACAAGGCAGTTTTCTGTTAATAAACTTGCTAAAGGACAAAGCAAAGAAAGATTTTGACATTTGTATAAACTAACCTTACAAACATTAATTACATGTTAAGGACATGTACATTTGACATATTTACACTCCTTACAAATCTCCTTTCATTGATTAGCTGTTGACTATATTTTACAACAAGTACTGGTCAATCACGTCATGTGCAGTCCAAAGTAAATGCAATGAAGATAATGCTGAATACATTCACATAGTTGAGCATGTCTTTGTAAAGTAGCAACGTAACAAGGAGTCTCTATAATCTCGATGGCTTAGACACGCATCCCTTAAGGGCTGACATCACACCTTTAGTACAAGACATCATGTCCGCTTTTGTGTGGTTTTTCTGTATCTCTCTTGGTTTGAATGATTCCCGACTTTGACGTGTTGGATCTTGCAAGATGTCTTCACAGTCATCGCCTGTTTCATTAATACGTGGATATCCCTGCAAACGGAACATAGTTACAAAACAGTTACGTATTGTTAGAATATTCAATTGTAGAACAATTATAAATAACACCAAAGCAAAGAACAGGCTAGCTTTGATATTTTAACTTGTCTTTTATTTTCTTGTTAAGCTGTATCCTTCTTAATCTAAATAGACAAGAAGATGATATTGTGCTCATGTACTAGAAAATGCATTGATTCATACCAGCTGCTTTGAGGGTTTGTCTGTAAATTCAGAAAAATCCAGACCTCCGTATCTGTCTAGGATCCGTTTCTGGATGGAGGTAAAGGATGCCGGGTGGACGTCACTAGCGCTCCTGCGTCTGTTCTTGTTAGTACCATTTGTCCTCATTGAATGGCGTGTCTATCCAAATTGGACAATAAAGAAGAAAGTGTCAACACACAACTCCACAAAATGCTAAAAATATAGTAAAACGACATCAGCAAAAATATCAAGAAACTGACAATATTAAGGAATCTAGAACCACTCCAAAGACAATGAATATGAATCTAGGAGTAAACAAGGAGTGTGGTCATACCGGATTTTTAATCCTTCACAGAACGGTCACTCTAACCAACTGTTTTGCGGATGTCTATTGACCTAGTCTCATTACGGTTATACCCAAACTTTAGGGGAGGTGGGGGAAACTGTATGCATATGCATGAAAATCAACGTTAAAGTATCTAGTGTTGTGCCAGTAGGGAGACTGGAATCCTCATGAGGGAAGGACAAGATGTGTCACACATTTCAGGATAAATAAGGTCCTGCGGAAATTGTATAGTTTTCTACTTCCATCGGCGACAGAGAATCGATCTCTAACAGTCTACGGTATATATACATATAAAATATATCTAATTATGGTAGTCAACTGAATTCCTGTATTTGAAATCAAACCACTATTATACGACCGTAAATTGGATTAACATTCTTTTGACAATAGTGATGAAGAGTTCGTAATTGACGACATGGCCATATGTTCCAGTTATATGCTTATTTTATGTATCGAAATACCATATCTCTTACAAAGATGCTGTCTTCCTTCGCTTTTCTATTCATTATTTCAGTTTCAATGTACCTACCGGATGGGTAGTCCAACGTTTATTCTGTTGTCGGTCACGGAAGTCTTGTGACTCCTCTGACTCTAGGAAATGTGGTGTAGTTACAGGAGGGTGCGTGTGTCCTTTGCTAACTTTATTTTCACGAACGTAGTAAAAAGGAACAGGAGTGTCAGGTCGGGAAATGCGATAATCCTTCAGATCTCTTTGATGAGCATCACCTTCTGTTATTTCATCAATATCTCCCTTCTCCATCTGAAAAAGGAAAATTTAACTGATATAAACCTGATTTCAAACAGCAATTTAGCTAAAAAGATATAAGAAGAACTGAGTATAAAGAAATGTTCACCTTTAAAACAGTGATAATGTCTCACGCTTTTACCTTTCGCAGTTTTCTTCTTTCCAACCTTTGCTCTCGCTTGTATATGTTACTTTCTCTGTTAATGCTTTCTGTACGAGGAGCTGAGGCGTTGCTAACGTCATGAGTATTCGACCGTCGGTAGTGCTGTCTAGATGGCTGGCCATTTCTACATCGTGTAATATCTCGTAACGACTCAGGTAAGTCTACAACAGTGGAGAACACAGAGCATACCTCCATAGCATCAAGATCAGCAGCATCCAACGACGAGGTCGGTGTGTGTATCTCAAAATTCTTCGTCAGGAATGACAGTTCATCTAACGATGATGTTGGTGTATGTTGCTGAAATTTTAACAGTGAAACGATTACAGTGCAGAATAGTTTAAATGAGATATATATACTATAAAAAGGTAATACAATTGTAGCAAAAATTGAAACAATCTGTACTTTTTGATGAGCTACTTACCATTACTTTACATAAAAGTTCAACATCTGTTGGTGTACCGGAATCTTCTGTAGTCTGCATTACATCGCTCTGCAAAGAAATTAATTACTCAGTCAGTACTTAACTAAATAAGGTGTAATAACGCATCAAGTGGGGAAAATTATCATGAAAAACATCAAAACATTCTACTCAAAGACATAATGAAAACTCCTGAGATATAATTCAGAGTAAATATATATAATTCTTTAAAAAGTGGTAAATAAAATGAAACTTTTGTATGTAGTTTACCTTGTAAAGAACTGGACCGGTCCATCGGCGTCTCCCTTTTGAAGATTTAGACGTTCGCGTCGTAGAATATTCTTTTGAGCTACATTCCTTCTTGCGTGTCTGTTTAATGATGTCCCAATTTTATTAATTAAATGACAATAGAAACAAAAATCAATATTTACATAAATTGTTATTCTTCGACAAATGCACTTGTTTTTCTTATTCAAACCTGATAATTAGGCTAAGCAAATACGACGAAACCTCAAACAAACAAAATACCTCTTTCGTCTGTGTGTCAACAGGCCTTTCCCTGTGGCTGCTCCCAGACCCAACAGAACTTGCACTTCGTGCCAACGATGAACCTGTGTGTGTTTTGAAAGGGATGCCATTCATATCCAAGAGGTGGCAAGCCCGCAGCATGTCTGCACGGTTTGCAAACAGTAAGGCGTTCTGTAAGTGCCCCGACGCTTCTCTGTTTGTGTCTGTCTCTAGATAATACCGATTGTCTTTGTTAGTACAATCAAAATATTAAACACAGTATATGGCAAGGCGATGTAAGCATTGCTGAACTGGGAATCACAGAAACACACCGTACAAATATTAACATCTTACGGTCAGCACAGGTTATATAGCCCATACAATTTCATTAAGGTTTTAAACTAGTAGTGTCAAAAAAAAAATGTAAACTGCTAAACATCAAAATTTATTTTCCGTTTCAGTTGTGCACTGTCAATGTATCTCAATACTGCTTATTGATGATGAAACATGCTCGTTAACATTTAATTTATCTAATCAATTCTATTATTTTTGGTTACAAAATGCAATGTTAAAATAAATTTACAAATATTAATATAAATTACCTGAAAGCGTTTTAGAGCTTTGAAGTAGGGTTTCTTTGATTTTCTTTGTAACTTCCATTAATTGAGATTTCCACCAAATTCGGTGCTGGTAGTCTCTGTGACCGACACATTTTCTAAAATCTATAACTGCTTGCCGGATTTCGTCTAGAGATCTCTGAGTTTCTAGGTCTTCCTGGTGCCACTGATCAATCAGCTTCCGATAGGTTGATAACATAGGACCATCGATACACTTTGACTTCATTTCGTCTACACGGGACTTATACTCGACGCCTAGTATACGAATGAGGGCTCCGGAAATATCTTTCCATAGAGAATCGAACTCTTCTTGATTAATTCCAGTAACACCTCCATGTGATACTGCGTTCCGATACAACCGAAGTCGTAAAATGTCGTCCCCTATCTGTATGTGATGTTGTTGTGGCAATTGGGTAAAAGATGAAGATGTTGGTTTGATACCGAAGATTTCAAATAACAAAAAACTCAGTAGCGTTATATCTAATTTGTTAAAATGCACCAATGGATAAAGACAGCCAAGCTGCTTTTTGCTCAGTACTTTCTTCGTCCGGATTTGGACTGAGAAGCCACTGAGAAACATATTAAGGCCTTCACCCTCCAAATGGGTTTTAAGTAGAACATCGTGTTTGCTCGGTACGCTAGGAAGACCAAACACAGTAGCACTGATGATGCGTTGGACATCTAAAGATATCGTACCGAAATGTGGGCAGGATTGATTCGAAAACAATTCATCAAACTGTGGCTGTGATAATATGCTCTGGAGTTCAATCTTTTTGTTCTGAATTGAATGATTGAAAACTTCGTATACCAGACGCTCTTTCAAAGCAAATGATCCCTGTTCATTAATAAATAGTACCAGTCGGAGGCTATGCGTTTGTTCCTTTGATATAGCTGCACTTCCTTCCTCCTTTACTATATCCATGTTTTAAGTCCTGGAAAGAAACACAACGTTTTATCCACAAAGTGTCAATGATTTTAGTCCGGATCAGGTTGTTGAAAGTTTCAACAACACTTTAACACCTAACTTGTATACCTAAAATATAATCTCAGTGTAAAAATGAATACAGTGGTTCAGTATGAATATGTAAAGGCAAAAGTTAATAACAATGTTTGATGAACTTACAAGCACATAACTCTTTACTATCTACTTAGTCTAATTTCACCGTCTGTCAACTGGAGCTGCTAAGTCGTGGATACAACGCATTATTTTCTGGGGTAGATTTATAATAGCAAAGGCATCATGTATTGTATAAATTACATCAGCTACAGAAAGCATACAATGGTCCGGACTCCAAACAACAAATGAACGAACAATACGTTTTGTCTTAATCTATTAAAATCTAAATGTAAACAACATTAGATCATGTCCATAAATAACAGCAATGGTAATTTTAAGGTATATAACTGTACACATGTAATGTACATGTATTTCTAATGCCGATTCCTTTTATGTGTATGTTTAACATGCTGATTGCCAAATTTTCTTTTACAGAGCGTCTATATGATTTACGTCTACAAATAGGTATGCTCATAAAACTTTATCGAAGGTGTTACTTACACCACAGTGTTCCGCTACTGCATTCATTGTCGATGTCTTGTTTAACTAACGTTTATTTCTGTTCATTCCATAAGTGACTGTAGTGATCATTGTAGCATGAAGATTTGATACCGAATATCGTCTGATATCACGAACCGTCACTCCATATAGAAAGTATTGCACCATGTCTATTTTTAGCTATGTTTACCTGTGGTGAAAAACATTGCATACCGGACTTGCGGTATTTGAGGTGCTTACCTAAGTAGGTCAAACGCTATAATGAACTAGCCATATCTTACACCTTGACGTATGTTTGGCTTTAATACACATGTGCCTCGGTCGTAGTAGGTATTTAAATCCGTGGAATGTACATGTGTTCGATATGCATACGCATTCTAAGTAGAAACATGTAATAAAAAAAATCCGTTATTACTAGCATTTGTTACATAATTACATGTAACGTTTGAACTATTACATGCACTAATCAATAATTAATATTTTTATCATTATTTGTTGTAGAATGAAATAATCAGTAAACAGTATGTGTAGATATTAGACCACCACTTTCCGGTAAGATGGCTTTGCATACCGCTTTAATCATCAATACCCACTTCCTGGTATCGTACATTGTTGGATAGCACAATATATTATATAACGTTATCTTAGATTGATCAAGGCAGCGGATATTCTAGTATAGTAAAACTTACCTTCGCTGAAGTAGATCTTCAAACTATGCAACAGCTGATAATTGATATGTCACGTGTATTAATGGAATTTCCGTCTCAAAATAACCATTTATAGAAATGGAAATTTCCATGTGTCTGGGTGGCATTCCTAATATATTTGACCCTAACATAGTTTGAATACGCATCACTCTATGCAATGATATTCATCTAAGCAGTCATTGTGATATTGGTGGTATGAAAAAGGATCATGCTTTGAAACTGTCATACACAATACTTATGAATAAGAGCGATAGGTATATACATAAATCAGCTGCGAGCCAGTGTATATTGTCAAATTGCACATGTCCCTTCCGTAATGAATGGACATCTCATGATAAAGGGATACAACGCAGAATTATATATAACAAATTTTATCAAACGGAGCGTCATTAATACAACACTTAAATCAGACAGAATCTTAGACCTATTTCACTGAAGTGAATGCTTTTACTCCATTACCTACTATATTTCATTTAAATAAATACGCTCTTAAATGCTCCCATTCAATTCTTCCCAGCATTCATTTTAACGAATCTAGAATATTCGACACATTTAGGGAGAGCATAACATTCCAAGAAGAATTATTCATGCTGTCTTCTCCGAGTTTAGTTTAGTTCAAACAAGCAGCACACTCTCTCAACAACAAAACAAAACAAATCTCGTAAAATAAAAATGCAACCGACTTTAGACGAGCAAGCGTGATAAAACTCGGCACTTAGAACTCATATAAATTAACAAAACATTTAATAATGGACGTGTACCTTATGACCTTTCCCCTTGAAATATGTTACGCCACCGCTAGCATCTGTGTGCACTTACTGATTTTCCATATTTGGGATTTTGTGCAAGAATTATTATTACAACGTTGAATTAGCATTACCTAATAAAAGTTCAATTTCTAGTTAAGTTGAACTCGATGAATCCACCAAACCCTATCTGTTTTATTTGCCCAGATTAACATTCCCTGCGCGTATTACACAATTTACTTTCCTCGTCTAGACGTTATTATTCCACGATGACACGGTAGAAAGTTTACGTTGATGTATTGCATAATATTAGCTTACTCTTCATCAGAGTATTATGGTCTTCCCACGGTGGACTATGTTTTTACATTACGTCAATACCGGACGCAGACGCCCACAAGGTCAAATATTAGGGGCATACTATAAAAAATTCACAAGTTCAAATTATTGTAAAACACATGTTTATTTAAATATAAAGATTGGATCTTGCTTTTGACTATTTACTAGAGTAAAGAGTTGGCATTAGATAACTTGAACATAAACTACTTCGTTCTTCAATTCATCACCCTATGAATTCGACAGATGGAAGATTAAACCCACAAATGACAATAGATAGTGTTGTCAGGTAATGCGTTCCTATGTATATTTCAACTTTGTAATATTTGGAAAAGCACGTCCAAATTGCTTTGCCGGAATTATGATAATAACCTTCAGGATGATGACCCCTAAGATTCAACTCTAATTGAGAAAAAATGTAACGTACCTCTGATAAGGTAAACAAATAGTAATTGATTTCAAACCTTAACATTTGCGAGTCAAACGTTTCAAGAAAAACCAAGATCCTTACCGTAGGCACTTGATGAAGTCTAAGAGAATTGTTTTCGTATCAGTTTTTAAAATGAAAACACTAGCACATTGCATTTCTTTCACACTGTGTACACTTAAATTATGCCACCCAATAATTCTTAATGGATTGTTCAGACAGGTGTTATCGCTGTTTTTATGGCAAAAGAACATTGATTATTAGACAAATGCTTTGTGTTAAACAGATCGTATGAAATGGAACTTTATTTTATACCAAACTTGCATTTGAAACCTTACCTGGAATGACCTATTTGAAAAGTTATGTTTCATAAGAAATGCTACAGCTACCAAAAATTGTATTTCAAATCCAGCTGATGAGTTCATAGACCAGTGCTTATATTATTGCCGAAGTACATGTAATTCGTAATCAAATGTAGAAAGTCACTGTGACTCAATTGAATAGACCTTTTTTTTTTATAAATATATGCTATTTCTAAAAATAAACAGATATTGGAATTTTAAATATTCGCATCTTTATCAATATTCAACACACAATTTGATATTTTTTTTTTACTTTTTTAAACAATATATGTCCATCTGTTTGGTTGTATGTAGCTAATGTAGATTTTCTGAGTGATAGTAGAGTGTTACTGTTGTATAACATTCTACATAACGCTGGTCACCTATACAATAAACACTTACTACACAGGGGTAAGTATAAAACAAGACTTTATTAGAGTATGATGAGGAGCAATGACAAACGTGATGTACAAAAATAATATTGTATAATCATAGACAAAATGTATCAAAATAGGTTAAGAAATATACAAGTGCCTTATAAATATGAAGCAAATTAAATACAAAGCATACACGCAATTTTGCATCTGGTCATATTGATAAAAGGGAAAATCCATTTGTATGTGTTCAACGGCAAAGATATATGATTAAGGAAATGGCACAAAACCAAAAAATAACTAGTGTATTAAAAGCGAAAATCGATATGATGAAATTTTATTACACAAATAATTAAACAAATTATACAAAGTAAACTGGAGACGTACTATGCAAGAAATCTATAGAAGCTTAAGGATGTAAACCTCCGAGAAGTCAAAAAAATCCTGTATTAAACTTTTTTTCTTATATTGATTTTTGGAAAAGGTCGATAATGGCATAGTAGAAAATGCAAAAAAAAATCATATGTCCGTGTGTTTGTTTTTGTGCTATGATCGGTCAAAGATCCCACTTTAACACAATAGGTGATTTTAGGTGAATGTTCGGGTTTTGACCATTTGCAGAAAAATATCATACAATTGCTTCCAATTGTGTTATCAGATATGTATGAAAGTTTGTAGAATTGATAAAAATATTATTTTCTTTTAAATTATGGAAGTAAAATTTCTTAATCTTATTCATTTTACTCAGAAATGCGATTTTAGTTACCCCTACCCCTTATTTTTTAATGAAAAAATGCACATTTCTTTACCATTTTTTGCAGATTAAACGCTTGATATAAAAAAAATCCTCTATTAAACTTATTTGAGTATTCAATGCATGAATGAAAAAATGTGTTTTTCTTTCTAAAGCAGCCACGAAAATGGGGGGTCGGTGTGCTTCTTTGTTGTCCCATTATTATTTGTGTTATTTTTCACCTTTTTCGGGGTCAAAAATCAAAAGTGCTTCAGTTACCCTAATATGTTAAAAAGAATTACCAAATATATATAACTTTCCACTTTTTTGCATATGATTTAAATCATAATGAACATTATTAAGTTGTACAGCAAAATTGAACCTGCTACATTTAAAAATGGTGGCACAATGACAATTTAAGTGATCAATCTAGTGTGAAATTTTGCCTCTTGTTGAGCGCAAGAAATTCACATAAATACACTTTTTCAAAATGGCCACCAAATTGGTCATTTTTTTCAAATTCTTGTAAAAAATGTTCTTCACACAACACAAATCTAGTCTTTTGCCATGTTTTTCAGATGTGTGTTTGCTATTAAACCTATCATAATTTGTTAAATATTACAAAAACCCGTTACGCCAGATCAAAACGAGACTTGAACGTGACTGAAACCTCAGAAGAGTACATCCTTAAACAAGATCTCGGTTAAAATGGTTAAAATAAGAAGAAATAAATTCTAGATTTTAAAAATTAAAAGATCTATAGTCAAAAATAAAAAACAAAAAACGAAAGTTAAGAGCACTTTAAAGCAATATAAGCTATATCAATAAATATATTTTTAAGAAAACCAATGACAAAGGTAAGAAAAAATCTGTATTAGGAAAGTAAAAGACCATATTAAAGCAACACATAAAGCTGAAAACAGCGATTGATCCTTATCTTTAACACAAATCACAGATATATCCATAATTAATAACAGTAAAACTGAAATAAACATCATCAGAGTGACAGAGACACAGCCGATTCCCCGCACTAAAAATGTCGTGAATAAAACAAAATATCTGTTCTTTAATATTTTTCATAAAGTTTACGTTTAGATACGCTATAGTCATGCATGAAAAATAAACGTTTCCAATGTATGTTACATTTTTTTGCAGTGGTACAATTGAACGGGGATCCATAAGTGAATTCGTAAATTGTATATTTGGCAATCATTAAGTGCTTCAAATTGTATTAATTTCAATGCAAATAGACACATTTCGTTTCAATTTAAAAAAACAAATTGTAACAATATGTTCGACGGATTGGGTGGTGATAAATAGTAAATATGTTTTTCAACAACTGAAAATTGAATAGTTCTGGTATATAAGGGTATATGTGTTTTATGTTGTAACCCAAAAAAAGCATTTATTGATCGTCCATAGTAAGAAAGATAGAAGTGTTCAAGTAAAACAATGCTGTATGATATAATAAGTTATTGTGACCAATGTTATT